GTTAAATGTTAAAAGACGCTAAAACCAGGTTGAAAGTTTAAAGACGCTGAAACCAGGTTGAAATGTTAAAAGATGCTAAAACCAGGTTCAACGTTAAAGACGCTAAAACCAGGTTAAACGTTAAAAGACGCTAAAACATAAAAGACGGTAAAACCAGGTTAAAATATTAAAAGATGCTAAAACCAGGTTAAACATTTAAAGACTCTAAAACCAGGTTAAAATATTAAAAAAGTAAAAATCAGGTTAAAACGTTAAAAGACGCTAAAACCAGGTTAAACGTTAAAAGACGCTAAAACATAAAAGACGGTAAAACCAGGTTAAAATATTAAAAGATGCTAAAACCAGGTTAAACATTTAAAGACTCTAAAACCAGGTTAAAATATTAAAAAAGTAAAAATCAGGTTAAAACGTTAAAAGACGCTAAAACCAGGTTAAAACGTTAAAAGAAGCTAAAACCAGGTTAAAAGACGCTAAAACCAGGTTAAACGTTAAAAGACGCTAAAACCAGGTTAAAACGTTAAAAGACGCTGAAACCAGGTTAAACGTTAAAGACGCTAAAACCAGGTTAAACGTTAAAAGACGCTAAAACCAGGTTAAAATATTAAAAAAGTTAAAATCAGGTTAAAACGTTAAAAGACGCTAAAACCAGGTTAAAACGGTAAAAGACGCTAAAACCAGGTTAAAACATTAAGAGACGCTAAAACCAGGTTAAACGTTAAAAGACGCTAAAACCAGGTTAAAAGACGCTAAAACCAGGTTAAAACGTTAAAAGACGCTGAAACCAGGTTAAACGTTAAAGACGCTAAAACCAGGTTAAACGTTAAAAGACGCTAAAACCAGGTTAAATCGTTAAAAGACGCTAAAACCAGGTTAAACGTTAAAAGAAGCTACAACCAGGTTAAAACGTTAAAAGACAACACTGTCACTCTGCACTCGGCAGCTGCCTGTCACCATACAGCGCCTCTGTTTCCAAAAGAAACATCCAACTTATGGTTATGGTTAATAAATAATTACACAACTCTGTACAGACACATTTTGTATATTTCAATTCAATTGTTATTATATAGTCTAATATTAAGGAAAATGTTTATGCTGCAATCTTGAGTAGGTAAGTAAATATTTTTGTTCTTTGCAGTCAGTGCTCTCCTACAAATAAAATCTGTATTTGTCTTTTTAAGGAAAAGGTCAACCTGCGTATTTGAAGAACAATTAACACATTAAAACAGGATTTTTATGGAACTCAAAATGTTAACTGAACTGGTTTGAGTATGAGGACATGAGACAATTAGTAACATTAACTGTAAAAAAGGAAACCACAGTAATTCACTCTGTGATTCCTTAACTCATATTTTAATGTAATATTCAGCCAGTCTTTATACTGAAAAATAGAATTCTTGCAATTCAGTTAAAGCTTTTGGTTTTAGTGTGCCACCCCAGGATTTCCAGTTGCCCCCATCTGGCCACCCCAGGAACATTTTCTGGCGGCACCACTGATACCAGATTTATACTTTTCTCACCGTTGGTTTAAGTAACTGCATCTCCCGACGGAACAATTTGAAAGGATTTCTGTGCAATCTAACATTTTGGGCCCTATCCTCTTCTCACTGTATATGCTGCCACTGGGTTCCATTTTCCAGAAACATAACATCTCCTATCACTGTTTTGCTGATGATGTCCAAATCTACTTGCCTACGAAATCCATAACCAAAGAGTCTGTGCAGCCATTGTTAGATTGCTTAAAGGAGGTAAAAACCTGGATGGAGTTAAACTTCCTCACTCTGAATGAAAATAAAACAGAGATCATCACGTGTGGACGTTTAGACATACTGGGTGACCCTCCCAAAATCGATCCTCTATTAAAAATCTTGGTGTTATTTTTGACACCTCATTCACGTTCAATAAGCAAATCAGTGCAGTCGTCAAGACCAGCTTCTTCCAGTTAAGACTTCTAGCTAAAATAGATGGATAGAATGGATGTCAAATAATTTCCTCCAGCTGAACTCTGACAAAACAGAAATCCTGGTCATCAGGTCTCCGCAGATGGCAAATCAAATACTGCCATCTGCTGGTTCCCTAGTAAATCACATTAAGCCTGTGGCAAAGAACCTTGGTGTTTGGTTTGATAGTAATTTAAAGTTCAAGCAGCACACCACAAAGCTTGTTCAATCATGTTTTTATCAACTTAGAAATATAGCAAAAATTCGATCTATGTTAACTTTTAAGGACACCGAGACCATTTTACACGCCTTCATCTCATCACGCCTGGATTATTGCAACAGCCTTTTCACCTGTTTAACCCAAAAATCTATTGATCGACTCCAGACTGTCCAGAACTCAGCTGCCAGGCTTTTAACCAGAACAAAGAAATATGACCACATTACTCCTATTTTAGCTTCATTACACTGGCTCCCAGTATGTTTTAGAATTGACTTTAAAATTCTATTGATCACTTTTAAAGCTCTTCATGGCCTCTCGCCTTGTTATATTTCTGACCTTTTAGTCCCATACGCACCAGCACGTACCTTGAGATCCTCGGGCAGAGGTCTGTTGTCTGTTCCAGAGTCTCGACTGAAAACTAAAGGGGACAGAGCGTTTGCTGTCAGGGCCCCGAGGCTCTGGAACAGCCTGCCCGAGGAAATCAGGTCGGCTGAGTCAGTGAACTCTTTTAAGTCCCTTCTTAAAACATACTTTTATAGGAGAGCCTTTCCTGATCTTATTTGACTTTATTTTATCCCTTTTATTTTACTAATTTTATATTTATCTTAAACATGTATTTTAGTCTTTTCAATGTTTTCATGCTTTTATCTTGTATTGTTTTTGTATTATTGTCTCTTGGGTGTTATTGACTTTACACTTGTTAAAGCACTTTGTAACTTGTTTTTGAAAAGTGCTCTTCAAATAAAGATTATTATTATTATTATTATAAAATAAAGGCCTATCTTCCTCCCAAAGACCTTGAAAAAGTCATCCATGCTTTTATTACTGTTCAGCTGGATTACTGTTATTCATTATACATGGGTCTAAATCAGAAATCTTTAAATCGCCTCCAGATAGTCCAAAACGCAGCTGCTCACCTTTTAACTAAAACAAAACATCGTGAGCACATAACGCCTGTCTTGGCCTCCCTCCACTGGCTGTCCGTTATAGGATAGATTTTAAGATGTTATTGCATGTTTCAAGGCCTTGAATGGCCACCTTATCTGGCCCACCATTCTCCAGTCAGAACACTGAGGTCACCAAATCAGTTGCTCCTGGATGTCCCAAAATCAAAGCTTAAAAATAAAGGTGACAGAGTTTTGCAGTGGGCGCCCCCATCCTATGGAACAACCTCCCTGTGCATATTAAAGCTGCACAGACCCTACAAACGTTTATTTGCTGCTTAAGACGCACCTATTTGCAGTAGCGTTTAACCTTCGTTTACCTCTTTTCTGATGTTTGAAGTGTTATTTATGTATTTGACATCGACCCTGTTCAGCACTTTGTTCAGCACAACTGTTGTTGTTTTTAAATGTGCTATAGAAATAAAATTTACATTGACATTGACTTTACAATCTCACCGTGAATTAACCGTCTGAATAAAGGCTGTTTAACTTGTCTGAATTAACCGTCTGAATAAAGGCCGTTTAACTTGTCTGAATTAACCGTCTGAATAAAGGCCGTTTAACTTGTCTGAATGAACCGTCTGAATAAAGGCTGTTTAACTTGTCTGAATTAACCGTCTGAATAAAGGCTGTTTAACTTGTCTGAATTAACCGTCTGAATAAAGGCTGTTTAACTTGTCTGAATTAACCGTCTGAATAAAGGCTGTTTAACTTGTCTGAATTAACCGTCTGAATAAAGGCTGTTTAACTTGTCTGAATTAACCGTCTGAATAAAGGCTGTTTAACTTGTCTGAATTAACCGTCTGAATAAAGGCCGTTTAACTTGTCTGAATTAACCGTCTGAATAAAGGCCGTTTAACTTGTCTGAATTAACCGTCTGAATAAAGGCCGTTTAACTTGTCTGAATTAACCGTCTGAATAAAGGTTGTTTAACTTGTCTGAATTAACCGTCTGAATAAAGGCTGTTTAACTTGTCTGAATTAACCGTCTGAATAAAGGCTGTTTAACTTGTCTGAATTAACCGTCTGAATAAAGGCTGTTTAACTTGTCTGAATTAACCGTCTGAATAAAGGCTGTTTAACTTGTCTGAATTAACCGTCTGAATAAAGGCTGTTTAACTTGTCTGAATTAACCGTCTGAATAAAGGCTGTTTAACTTGTCTGAATTAACCGTCTGAATAAAGGCTGTTTAACTTGTCTGAATTAACCGTCTGAATAAAGGCTGTTTAACTTGTCTGAATTAACCGTCTGAATAAAGGCTGTTTAACTTGTCTGAATTAACCGTCTGAATAAAGGCTGTTTAACTTGTCTGAATTAACCGTCTGAATAAAGGCTGTTTAACTTGTCTGAATTAACCGTCTGAATAAAGGCTGTTTAACTTGTCTGAATTAACCGTCTGAATAAAGGCTGTTTAACTTGTCTGAATGAACCGTCTGAATAAAGGCTGTTTAACTTGTCTGAATTAACCGTCTGAATAAAGGCTGTTTAACTTGTCTGAATTAACCGTCTGAATAAAGGCTGTTTAACTTGTCTGAATTAACCGTCTGAATAAAGGCTGTTTAACTTGTCTGAATTAACCGTCTGAATAAAGGCTGTTTAACTTGTCTGAATTAACCGTCTGAATAAAGGCTGTTTAACTTGTCTGAATGAACCGTCTGAATAAAGGCTGTTTAACTTGTCTGCGCTGGACCTTTCTTTGTTTGATACAATATATAAAGTTATCAACTTACTAAAATAATTCTCATCAATAAATAATAAAATATATAATACTGCAGTTCTTCTCGTGTCTCTGTTGAGGATCTGAACCTGTAACTCTGCAGGTCTCTCAGGTTGTAGTTCAGCACAGACCTGCTCACCAGATCAGTCTGTTCATATCAGGTGAGTCTGGCAGCTTTCTTACCTGTTTGATTCCTGCAGAGCCACAGAACTCCAACCAGGACCAGAACCAGGAGAACCAGAGAACCCACAGCGGCTCCAACAAGGAGGGGAAGGGAGAGAGGGGGGGAGGCTGAGGGAGGAGGAGGAGGAGGAGGAGGAGAGGAAGAAAGAGCAGAAAGAAGGGGAGGACGAGAAGAAGAAGGAGCAGAGGGAGCAGAAGGAAGAGGAGCAGGAGGACCTGCAGGAGGAATCAGTAGAACCTGGATCAGTACAGTGATCAGTTTATTATCAGGTCAGCAGGTTAGTTCATATCTTTAAACAGGAAGTGATGTCAGTATCCTGACCTCTGACGCTCAGCCATCTCCGAGGAGATTCTTCAGTCTTATCAAAGTAACACCAGTAGAGACCTTCATCAGACTGACTGATGTTCCTGATGGTAAACTGTCCTTTAGGTCCAGATCCAAGTTTAGAACCATTCCTGATGAAAAAGGCTTCGAGTGCGACCAGATCTTTGCTTCTACAGCGCAGAGTGACATCATTTCCTGCCACCACAGGAAGTCCCGGAATCTGCAGAATAACCTGAGAATCTGAAGAAGAAGAAAACAGACCAGAGCCACATACCGAGTAAGACCATCAGACCAGAGCCACTTACAGACAGAGTTAGACCATCAGACCAGAGCCACATACAGAGTTAGACCATTAGGCCAGAGCCACATATAGACAGAGTTAGACCATGAGACCAGAGCCACATACAGAGTTAGACCATCAGACCAGAGCCACATATAGACAGAGTTAGACCATGAGACCAGAACCACAGACAGAGTTAGACCATCAGACCAGAGCCACATACAGAGTTAGACCATGAGACCAGAACCACATACAGAGTTAGACCATCAGACCAGAGCCACTTACAGACAGAGTTAGACCATCAGACCAGAGCCACTTACAGACAGAGTTAGACCATCAGACCAGAGTCACATACAGACAGAGTTAGACCATCAGACCAGAGCCACATACAGACAGAGTTAGACCATCAGACCAGAACCACATACAGACAGAGTAAGTCCATCAGACCAGAGCCACATACAGACAGAGTTAGACCATCAGACCAGAGCCACATACAGACAGTTAGACCATCAGACCAGAACCACATACAGAGTTAGACCATCAGACCAGAGCCACATACAGACAGTTATACCATCAGACCAGAGCCACATACATACAGAGTTAGACCATCAGACCAGAGCCACATACAGACAGAGTTAGACCATCAGACCAGAGCCACATACAGAGTTAGACCATCAGACCAGAGTCACATACAGACAGAGTTAGACCATCAGACCAGAGCCACATACAGACAGAGTTAGACCATCAGACCAGAGCCACATACAGACAGTTAGACCATCAGACCAGAACCACATACAGAGATAGACCATGAGACCAGAGCCACATACAGAGTTAGACCATCAGACCAGAACCACATACAGAGTTAGACCATCAGACCAGAGCCACATACAGACAGTTATACCATCAGACCAGAGCCACATACATACAGACAGTTATACCATCAGACCAGAGCCACATACATACAGAGTTAGACCATCAGACCAGAGCCACATACAGACAGAGTTAGACCATCAGACCAGAGCCACATACAGAGTTAGACCATCTGACCAGAGTCACATACAGACAGAGTTAGACCATCAGACCAGAGCCACATACAGACAGAGTTAGACCATCAGACCAGAACCACATACAGACAGAGTTAGACCATCAGACCAGAGCCACATACAGACAGAGTTAGACCATCAGACCAGAGCCACATACAGACAGTTAGACCATCAGACCAGAACCACATACAGAGTTAGACCATGAGACCAGAGCCACATACAGAGTTAGACCATCAGACCAGAACCACATACAGAGTTAGACCATCAGACCAGAGCCACATACAGACAGTTATACCATCAGACCAGAGCCACATACATACAGAGTTAGACCATCAGACCAGAGCCAAATACAGAGTTAGACCATCAGACCAGAACCACATACAGAGTTAGACCATCAGACCAGAGCCACATACAGACAGAGTTAGACCATCAGACCAGAGCCACATACAGAGTTAGTCCATCAGACCAGAGCCACATACAGACAGAGTTAGACCATCAGACCAGAGCCACATACAGAGTTAGTCCATCAGACCAGAGCCACATACAGACAGAGTTAGACCATCAGACCAGAGCCACATACAGACAGAGTTAGACCATCAGACCAGAGCCACATAGAGACAGAGTTAGACCATCAGACCAGAGCCACATAGAGACAGAGTTAGACCATCAGACCAGAGCCACATACAGACAGAGTTAGACCATCAGACCAGAACCACATACAGAGTTAGACCATGAGACCAGAGCCACATACAGAGTTAGACCATCAGACCAGAACCACATACAGAGTTAGAACATCAGACCAGAGCCACATACAGAGTTAGACCATCAGACCAGAGTCACATACAGACAGAGTTAGACCATCAGACCAGAGCCACATACAGACAGAGTTAGACCATCAGACCAGAACCACATACAGACAGAGTTAGACCATCAGACCAGAGCCACATACAGACAGAGTTAGACCATCAGACCAGAGCCACATACAGACAGTTAGACCATCAGACCAGAACCACATACAGAGTTAGACCATGAGACCAGAGCCACATACAGAGTTAGACCATCAGACCAGAACCACATACAGAGTTAGACCATCAGACCAGAGCCACATACAGACAGTTAGACCATCAGACCAGAGCCACATACATACAGAGTTAGACCATCAGACCAGAGCCAAATACAGAGTTAGACCATCAGACCAGAACCACATACAGACAGAGTTAGACCATCAGACCAGAACCACATACAGACAGAGTTAGACCATCAGACCAGAGCCACATACAGACAGAGTTAGACCATCAGACCAGAGCCACATACAGACAGTTAGACCATCAGACCAGAACCACATACAGAGTTAGACCATGAGACCAGAGCCACATACAGAGTTAGACCATCAGACCAGAACCACATACAGAGTTAGACCATCAGACCAGAGCCACATACAGAGTTAGACCATCAGACCAGAGTCACATACAGACAGAGTTAGACCATCAGACCAGAGCCACATACAGACAGAGTTAGACCATCAGACCAGAGCCACATACAGACAGTTAGACCATCAGACCAGAACCACATACAGAGTTAGACCATGAGACCAGAGCCACATACAGAGTTAGACCATCAGACCAGAACCACATACAGAGTTAGACCATCAGACCAGAGCCACATACAGACAGTTATACCATCAGACCAGAGCCACATACATACAGAGTTAGACCATCAGACCAGAGCCAAATACAGAGTTAGACCATCAGACCAGAACCACATACAGAGTTAGACCATCAGACCAGAGCCACATACAGACAGAGTTAGACCATCAGACCAGAGCCACATACAGAGTTAGTCCATCAGACCAGAGCCACATACTGACAGAGTTAGACCATCAGACCAGAGCCACATACAGACAGAGTTAGACCATCAGACCAGAGCCACATACAGACAGAGTTAGACCATCAGACCAGAGCCACATAGAGACAGAGTTAGACCATCAGACCAGAGCCACATAGAGACAAAGTTAGACCATCAGACCAGAGCCACATACAGACAGAGTTAGACCATCAGACCAGAGCCACATACAGAGTTAGACCATCAGACCAGAGCCACATACAGACAGAGTTAGACCATCAGACCAGAGCCACATACAGACAGAGTTAGACCATCAGACCAGAGCCACATAGAGACAGAGTTAGACCATCAGACCAGAGCCACATACAGACAGAGTTAGACCATCAGACCAGAGCCACATACAGACAGAGTTAGACCATCAGACCAGAGCCACATACAGAGTTAGACCATCAGACCAGAGCCACATACAGACAGAGTTAGACCATCAGACCAGAGCCACATAGAGACAGAGTTAGACCATCAGACCAGAGCCACATACAGACAGAGTTAGACCATCAGACCAGAGCCACATATAGAGTTAGACCATCAGACCAGAGCCACATACAGAGTTAGACCATCAGACCAGAAAGTGAAAGTGTTGCGTTCGCTGTCACAGGAAAACGTAGCTACAGTAGTTACTTCAGTCAGCTGTAACGTGGCTGTTTAATCAGCGTAGCTACTGAAAGTGTTGCGTTCGCTGTCACAGGAAAGCGTAGCTCCAGTAGTTACTTCAGTCAGCTGTAACGTGGCTGTTTAATCAGCGTAGCTACTGAAAGTGTTGCGTTTGCTGTCACAGGAAAGCGTAGCTCCAGTAGTTACTTCAGTCAGCTGTAACGTGGCTGTTTAATCAGCGTAGCTACTGAAAGTGTTGTGTTTGCTGTCACAGGAAAGCGTAGCTACAGTAGTTACTTCAGTCAGCTGTAACGTGGCTGTTTAATCACCGTAGCTACTGAAAGTGTTGTGTTTGCTGTCACAGGAAAGCGTAGCTACAGTAGTTACTTCAGTCAGCTGTAACGTGGCTGTTTAATCACCGTAGCTACTGAAAGTGTTGTGTTTGCTGTCACAGGAAAGCGTAGCTACAGTAGTTACTTCAGTCAGCTGTAACGTGGCTGTTTAATCACCGTAGCTACTGAAAGTGTTGCGTTCGCTGTCACAGGAAAGCGTAGCTCCAGTAGTTACTTCAGTCAGCTGTAACGTGGCTGTTTAATCAACGTAGCTACTGAAAGTGTTGCGTTCGCTGTCACAGGAAAACGTAGCTACAGTAGTTACTTCAGTCAGCTGTAACGTGGCTGTTTAATCACCGTAGCTACTGAAAGTGTTGCGTTCGCTGTCACAGGAAAACGTAGCTACAGTAGTTACTTCAGTCAGCTGTAACGTGGCTGTTTAATCACCGTAGCTACTGAAAGTGTTGCGTTCGCTGTCACAGGAAAGCGTAGCTCCAGTAGTTACTTCAGTCAGCTGTAACGTGGCTGTTTAATCAACGTAGCTACTGAAAGTGTTGCGTTCGCTGTCACAGGAAAACGTAGCTACAGTAGTTACTTCAGTCAGCTGTAACGTGGCTGTTTAATCAGCGTAGCTACTGAAAGTGTTGCGTTCGCTGTCACAGGAAAGCGTAGCTCCAGTAGTTACTTCAGTCAGCTGTAACGTGGCTGTTTAATCAGCGTAGCTACTGAAAGTGTTGTGTTTGCTGTCACAGGAAAGCGTAGCTACAGTAGTTACTTCAGTCAGCTGTAACGTGGCTGTTTAATCACCGTAGCTACTGAAAGTGTTGTGTTTGCTGTCACAGGAAAGCGTAGCTCCAGTAGTTACTTCAGTCAGCTGTAACGTGGCTGTTTAATCAGCGTAGCTACTGAAAGTGTTGTGTTTGCTGTCACAGGAAAGCGTAGCTACAGTAGTTACTTCAGTCAGCTGTAACGTGGCTGTTTAATCACCGTAGCTACTGAAAGTGTTGTGTTTGCTGTCACAGGAAAGCGTAGCTACAGTAGTTACTTCAGTCAGCTGTAACGTGGCTGTTTAATCACCGTAGCTACTGAAAGTGTTGTGTTTGCTGTCACAGGAAAGCGTAGCTCCAGTAGTTACTTCAGTCAGCTGTAACGTGGCTGTTTAATCACCGTAGCTACTGAAAGTGTTGTGTTTGCTGTCACAGGAAAGCGTAGCTACAGTAGTTACTTCAGTCAGCTGTAACGTGGCTGTTTAATCACCATGAGACCAGAACCACATACAGAGTTAGACCATCAGACCAGAGCCACTTACAGACAGAGTTAGACCATCAGACCAGAGCCACTTACAGACAGAGTTAGACCATCAGACCAGAGCCACATATAGAGTTAGACCATCAGACCAGAGCCACATACAGAGTTAGACCATCAGACCAGAAAGTGAAAGTGTTCCGTTCGCTGTCACAGCAAAGCGTAGCTCCAGTAGTTACTTCAGTCAGCTGTAACGTGGCTGTTTAATCACCGTAGCTACTGAAAGTGTTGTGTTTGCTGTCACAGGAAAGCGTAGCTCCAGTAGTTACTTCAGTCAGCTGTAACGTGGCTGTTTAATCACCGTAGCTACTGAAAGTGTTGCGTTCGCTGTCACAGGAAAGCGTAGCTCCAGTAGTTACTTCAGTCAGCTGTAACGTGGCTGTTTAATCAGCGTAGCTACTGAAAGTGTTGTGTTCGCTGTCACAGGAAAGCGTAGCTCCAGTAGTTACTTCAGTCAGCTGTAACGTGGCTGTTTAATCAGCGTAGCTACTGACAGTGTTGTGTTCGCTGTCACAGGAAAGCGTAGCTACAGTAGTTACTTCAGTCAGCTGTAACGTGGCTGTTTAATCAGCGTAGCTACTGAAAGTGTTGCGTTTGCTGTCACAGGAAAGCGTAGCTCCAGTAGTTACTTCAGTCAGCTGTAACGTGGCTGTTTAATCAGCGTAGCTACTGAAAGTGTTGCGTTCGCTGTCACAGGAAAGCGTAGCTCCAGTAGTTACTTCAGTCAGCTGTGACGTGGCTGTTTCAGCAGTCAAGTTTTAACGACCCGTCATAATGATGGCATGTAAATTTAAATGATCCACTGTCGAGGGTTTTTTCAGCGGTGGAGACACATTGGGATGACGTATGAAAAGAGCTTTTTTTTCCTACCAGCGTGTGTGGTGATGTCTGGACCATGGCGGCTGTGGCGGATGGCGTATATCCTACTCAGTGTCTACGGACGGAGTTGCACCGTGTCGTTGTAGACCGCACATAGCGGTAGAATGCTTGAAGTCAGCGTATCTAGTTGCGTTGTGACGTTGATCTTGAAGAATTGCTGGGTCATCACAATGACGTTAACTTCCTATTGTGATCAACCGTGTACAGACTGACTGGCTGGCTGTGTGTGTGTGTTTCTGTGTATCTGCACCGTTTTAAGCGCTAAATCAAGGTGCCCAAGCTCCACACCGTAGGTACCAGAGGTTTTCTCTGTGAAGACTGGGGCTGTTCCTTCTTTTTTGGTGGTATTTTTTTTTTAGGAACTGAACATTTACTTTGGCTTCTATTTTGTGATGGACTGAGAACTGTTTCCTGTGTTTCAATGAACTAATGACCGAGTTTTCTTTGTGTATGACTATAACTTGAGGAAGTCTGTGAATGGACATTATTATGAATGTTATGGCTTTGTTGGTGAGCAATATACTTTCTAATCACTGAAAAACCTGGTTGTTGATGCTTCTTTTGCTACTAATGATTTTATTCCAAGGGTTTATGTGGACAGAGATTGACGTGACTATACGTATATCCTTGTAACGGGCATGTGTCTGTGTGCGTGACGACTATTTGTCAGGACATCCCTGACTGGCACCCCATAAAATAAAATAAAAAATAGTTGCGTGCCAAACCGTTACAAAGTGTTGCGTGTCGTGCCGTTGCATCTAAAATAGATGATTCACCATCAAACAAGAAGGTGTTGTAACTTGACTGTACAAGGTCAGAACTGCACCAAATTTACAAGTTTGATAAGAGTCCCGCCTTGAACACATCTACATGCCAACGTTGACGTTTGCTACACATTTCTACATGCTCTACATGTATGAAATTTCTGGGACAGATATATCATGTTGAGACACACAAAAAAGCCACTTGGGGCTATTCCCTAAATCCAACAGGAAATCGGCCATTTTGGATTGAATGGTCCATTTTTGGTGATTTACAGGCTTCCTACTTTAACAAACTCCTCCTAGAGAATTAATCCCAATGACTTAAATTTTTCGCTGTCTAGTCTAAAGCCATTGACGATTAAAAGTTGTAAAATCTGTGGGTTTTCCTGAAACGGCGTGCTCACCATGAACACATCTACATGCCAATATTCAGTTACAGTTGTAGCGCCACCTACTGGCAACAAAGGAAGTAAGCTCTGTGTGACACTTATCATGCGATTTAAATGATACTTTCACAATATGTTCCACACTTGAAGTACTGGGACACAACGAAGAGTTACCGGGTTCTCTCTAGCGAAGAGAGATAATTCAGAGCTGAACGCTGCTTGCAGCTTTAATTATATTAATCTTCACTCGTTTTTCTCTGCTTGCAGTTGCCACAGTTGTTATTGCAGCCATCTGTGGGCACCCAGAGCTCTGTGACACTACGTCATATTTATACAGAAACTGGACAAAACAGCCTGCTGGGAGAAAAGTAAGCAAGGAGGTTGAACTACACGGTAAGTTCTGAAAATATGTGTCGCTTTATTCCAGCTGGTTATATTTAGCTATGAAACAAGTTAGCATCACATAGAGCTGATCGATCAGAACGCCATTTAGGACAGACAGAGAGAGAGCGACAGGTGATCAGAGAAACAGATTAAAGGCATTTTCTTATTCTTTAGTGTCAGTGGTTGTTTTCACTTCAGCTCACCTGCAGGAACAGTCAGCCCAGACAGCTGCAGCAGCACGGACACACCTGCAACAGGAAGTCAGAGGTTACTGAAGGTCAGAGGTGAGTGGTGGGGAGGAGGGGTGGCCTCCTAATAATCCACCAGCTCCCCTTAAAACATGATTTGTGAAATCTCTAAAATGTACAGAGTAAAATAACTGGTTAGGGACGATGCAGAGTGAGCAGAGGTCTGATCTGTCAAAGATGGGCTTTAACTGTGTTACTGTTTGAGTCCTGTTGAGTCCCGGTTTGAAACTAAAATATCAGAAACAATAAACACAGCAGTGCGAGTGTAACTGGTGATTCAGTGTGTCAGGAATCAGAGGTCAGTGTGTTTCTTCTTCAGGTTTGGTGAAACTCAGTGTGGACATTAATAACCATGGAAATTTCACAGTTAAAGAAGTGACACATGAAACTCCGATAAGATCAGAGCAGCATTTAAGTTTTCCTGTGTGATGACAGTTCAGCTAGAAACTGGTTCAAACTGCCTCCTTCTCCTTTTATATGTCACCAAACTAACTGCCAGCAGTCACAATGTGAACAGAGTCACTAAGTGATTGGACGACACATGTGCATGACCTTCCTCATCTACACAAAGTTAGGACTTTGAGGAAAGCCCAGTCCGTCCTGGCTGATCCACTCCGTCTACAGCAGATCCAACCTGCCACAGACTGCAGAACTCACTGTCCCAGCTGCCATTGGCCTTTTAAATAACAATGTGATTTTATATTTACTGTGTATCGTCTGTCTGATGACTGCTGGCTGTACGACCACTTGGGGAAAATAACCATGACCTGTTTGTCCCTCTGGGCTTACCGTAGCTGTATGCACTCACTGCTGACACCATTCAGTACTACACACCTGTAAAGTCGCCTCGCTGCCGTTGACACTTCTGTACCTGCTGAACTTTAGTGCTGCTCACAGCTGCTGTTGGAAAGATGTTCTATTGATCGTAGTTTAAAAACAAATCAGTACTGAAATATGAAGGAGTTTGTATTTTGTCATTCTACATCCTGGTGCAGTTCCTGTTCACAGGGGCTGATGGGACGCCTCGATAACACATCGTTAATAACAGCATTAATGACAGCGTTAAAAACACTGAAACAACATGAGATACAGCTGGATATTCAGTACTTTCTTGCTCTGTTTCAACACATATAAAACCTGTGTGATGAGGAAAACTCCTTTCCAACAATTAACTGATCAGGACATGTCGTTTAAGTCTCACATTAAATTTCAAGGACCGCCTTTTTTCACCTACGTAATATTGCGAAAATCAGGAACATCCTGTCTAAAAATGATGCAGAAAAACTAGTCCATGCATTTGTTACTTCTAGGCTGGATTACTGCAATTCTTTATTATCAGGCTGCTCGAAAAAGTCCATTAAGACTCTTCAGCTGATCCGGAATGCTGCAGCACATGTTCTGACAGGAACCAGGAAAAGAGATCACATTTCTCCTGTTTTAGCTTCTCTGCATTGGCTTCCAGTAAAATCCAGAATAGAATTTAAAATCCTTAATAATCAGCAAAGTTTAAAATGTTGAACTCGTTGTTCTGCACAACTATTTACAAGGTAGCACTTAGTATTAACAAATCAGAGACTGACCACCATGTTGAGCATTTTTCTTGCTTAATGAATAAAAACAACAACAACCAAAATGAAACGACTGTTTCTTACAACTGGAATTAATATTGCAGCCTACTGATGCTAAGCTACATTAGTAGTCTATATTATTATCTGAAATTATAATGAATACACTAACATTAGCCCTAATCAAACCTTAACCACAGGGGTGTAATATAAAAAGCAGTTTTATTTGTGAAACAGATGTAATAAACTGTTTAAATGTTACAAATACTCTGTTTGTAGGCTGACCATCCAAATAAAGTGTGACCTGTGAATATATTAATATTATACTAACATTATATTTTGGATTTAAAGTTATAATATTTACTAATACACTAATTTATACTAGTTTCTCCTTCAGGTTGAGGATGGTGCCAGAAAGGGCTGCACATGTGAGTACTGGCACCTATTTTCTTTCCACTTCCAGCACTGCCCATACAGGTGTGCTACCAGTCAGCTCTGGTGAACATGGGTCATGAAGCCGATGCAGAAGTCCCTGAAACCTGCATTCTATTGAAAATCCAGCAGGGGGCGACTCTTCTGGTCCGGCTCCATCAGAAATAACAGTAAAATGTTTCTACTTGTCAGCTGATTTATTCCCTCAGTAAACTCTTTCCTGATGAGTTTCTGGTCTCAGTCGCTGGTTTCAAGTCTTCTTCAACACAGCATGATGTATATTTAGTAAATTATGGTCCCATTTATTTTAAAATAGACCACAAAGCAGAGTATGTGTCAGGGCGGGGTTATCTATGATTGACAAGTCGTTACCATGGCGACCTGTCAATCAGGCTAGAGTGACTCGTCCCCTCGGCGCTGTGTTAATTTAACCAGCGCCGCTGAAAAAGCTTATCAGGAGTCGGCTGTTCATTTTCTCTGGTGAGTACATTTAGTTTTAAGACTGCTGTTCTCTACACAAACTTATCAGCCTGTTAAAATGACAGTTAACGTGAGTTACAAAAACTCCACATGGTGGCGCCCTGTCGGCCAGACTCGAGGCTTCAGAACGGCAGTCCACAAACCAACGGGTGACGTCACCATGACTACGTCCATTTCTTACATACAGTCTATGCTCTGAGCTCACTCGCCCCTCGGGTCGTCGAGTACCGCGGTTCAAGTGCAACAGCATGGAATAAATACTGTCCCAAATGTGTTGTAGCTGTGTGGAAAAGTTTAGTACTTGTACATTCAAATGTTTGAATGCAGGAGCCTCAATCTCATCTGACAGTTGGGGGGACAATAAACATAAAATTTCTCAAGCTACATTTTTGAAGGGGACACAAATAATCCAGCCAAAAGCGTCCTTGTATAGGATACGTGTACACAGAGGAAAGCCTTACTGCTACTATTACTGTAACATGGAGGCAGTGATGTCACCAAACTGCCGTGACTTTTTGGACTCACTCTTTTCTCCGTCTGTTTATCAGGCCAACAACACAAAGCAGTCGTTTTTTAAATCTGACTTAGGTTCAGGGGGTCACCGTCCGTCATGTTATCCTAATTATCTGGCATCCTCCACATGCTAGTATTTTAGGTTTACGTCTCTTAGATATTCACCTGCAGCTGATCTGCCACTGAACGTCACACTGAGCACAACCCAACACAGCGGTGGATCTACAACATTAATCGCCGTGTTAGTTGGAGTAAGAGATGCACCCGTTGGGTTTTTCCTGGCCGATTCCAATAACTGTTGAAAGGTCTGAGCTGCTGATTCTGATTCTTCTAACTGACAGCACACACAAACATCTTTGTAACTTTCCATAGTCATTATTATCAGGATCCCATCAGCACAAACACTGGCTATTCTCACTGGGGTCCATTCAGTTGTATGGTCACAATGAAAAACATAGATCACATTTTCACTGCAGGGAGCTGTCGCTACAAATATAATCCAACTAAACATTAGGCCATTTAAAATATATATGAATCCGAACACAATCAAGCCCACAGCTGATCAACAAACACAAATACATCCACAAATAGCAGCTCTCTGCCTGCTGGTGATCAACAAAGACATTCTGACGCATCAGCTGCTGGAACGTTGTCGACATGAACAGGACTGAATGTGAGATCTGATATGATGTTTCTGACTCCGCCTCCATTCATTATCATTATCATCGTCCTGCTGATTCATTAAGGGCTGCAGCTAACTAGCATGTTTGAGGACATGGCATGATTTATGATGATGTATGTTTATTAATATATGTGACAGAAGAATGTTTTAGCTGAGCGCTGCAGTCACATGGTTCATCTGTTAATATAAATATGTAGCTTCAAACTTCATATAAACACAACAATAAACATACCTCAAACAAAAACCAAAGTTAGAAATAGAAAACATAGAAACTATCAGACCGTTTAATGTGTTTATATGAAGTTTGAAGCTACATATTTTAAACATCAGATGAACCTGGTGTACAGTGAGCGAGCGAGTTTGTGTCAAACTGACTCAACCACAGAGAAGAATCCTCGTGTTGTAACAGATGAACCGTGTGACTGCAGCGCTCAGCTAAAACATTCTTCTGTCACAAATATTAAACATTAAACCGTCTGACAGTTTCTAAGTTTTCTAACTTTGGTTTTTGTTTGAGTGCAGCCTCTGAGATGTGATGCATGGATGGATGAGTGATTGAATGAATGGATGAATAAATGGATGGATGGATGAGTGATTGAATGAATGGATGAATAAATGCATGGATGATTGAGTGATTGAATGAATGGATGAATAAATGCATGGATGGATGAGTGATTGAATGAATGGATGAATAAATGGATGGATGGATGAGTGATTGAATGAATGGATGAATAAATGCATGGATGGATGAGTGATTGAATGAATGGATGAATAAATGGATGGATGGATGGATGAGTGATTGAATGAATGGATGAATAAATGGATGGATGGATGGATGGATGAGTGATTGAATGAATGGATGAATAAATGCATGGATGGATGAGTGATTGAATGAATGGATGAATAAATGCATGGTTGGATGAGTGATTGAATGAATGGATGAATAAATGCATGGATGGATAGTATCTGTGTGTTGGACTCACCGAGCAGCAGAGACACAGATGAAGCCTTCATGTTGTCTGGATGTCGACTGTCAGTCAGTTTGAACAGCAGAGTGACGCCTTCAGCTTCACTTCCTTATTAACACACTCAGCGCATCATTGGCTGCGCTGCATGATACCCTGCTGCTCATGATTGGTGCTTCAGGAAGCTGCTCTCCACTTCACCAGGTAGCCCCGCCCTCAACGCTATGAACCAATCACAACAGCAGAAAGGTCAGCTGTCTGAACCAATAATTAGTGGCAAACTTCTCCATGACTGTGATAATGAAGTCACGTAGCTGCTGAATCAGCTGGCTTTTGATGGACAGCATGGCCAAGGCCCTGAGGCGTGGCTGGCCCTTGGCAAGTGAATGTTTTTGGAAATGCATCTGAATATTCCCAGATTCAAAGAGTCCGCCGACTCATCGTGGACGTACAGAGCTGTTTCACATTTTCCACACAGTTTCCTAAATGTTATGATCCGACTGAGCACGTACCTGTTTTCCTCCACCTGCTTGTTTTGCTGCTTAATTGAGCCCCTGCATGCGCTGTCAATATGGACAGCGATGATTTCCATTCCAAGAAAGCCCAATTTCAAAGCATAGAGATGACTTCCGCTGCACTCATGTTTTGATTGGATGCAATCCTAACATTAGTAGCCTGGTAATGAAGCAGTGATTTTTTTGTGTGACGTGTTCATCATTCGATGTCTGATTTGATAAATGGCAAATGTGATTGTAATGTAACATTACCATTATTGCCACAGTATGGAAAAAAACAGGACAACACGTCCTCCATCTATCTTGCTATTTTCATGATTCACCTGTCATGCCAAACAAAATGAATTAGTGTAGTTATTATTTTGATATTCCGGGTTTGTCATTAATGTTATAATGATTTCCGTATGTCCCATCATTCCAGAGACTCCACAGGAAAACAGACAAATCATCCGGTTCCAAGCAGAAAATGTGAACCGGTTCCCTAAGTCCAAATGTTGGGTGATGATGGCGCATAGATAAGCTGATTGCCTTTGGTGTGGGAGACCTGTGTTCGATTCCCACACCCATCCACCATTGTGTCCCCGAGCAAGACACTTAACCCCTCGTTGCTCCAGAGGCGTGCGACCTCTGACATGTATAGCAATTGTAAGTCGCTTTGGATAAAAGCGTCAGATAAATTAATAAATGTGATGTTCAATGTAATCTTGTAAATGTAGGCATTGTTTGTGTGTATTAATTGCAGGACCTGAAACCGGGATCTGGAACAGGTGGCGAGGTAGCCTCGTGGCGTTTTATGAAGAGCATGAGGTGTTGGGCACAATAAACCCTGCTGTTGTGTTTGCATCTTTTGGTCCTGCTGCTGATCCCATAACAATTCTTCTGGTGAGGTTTAAAGGTTAGCTACAACAACATGTAATGCAGTTTTAATTATTTTAACAATGCAATGTAGTCTGAAGTGTTATTGATTATTGATAATTGGATATGATAATTGTAATGTACATAGTAATGTGATTTTGTTATTGATGATACACCAGTGCATTATTTCTTTGGTGAAACTAATGATTATTAATTGACAAATGTTACCTGTATGAGGATACTGTCTTGCCCTATGAAGAAAGCTACTGTTCTTCATAATGCAAACCCGGGTAACTAACACATATATCTAGGAACCTTCCATTAGAATCACATTTTTTGTATAGAATCCTTTGGAATTCAAATACTCTAATCTGTGCTGTTTAATTATGATATGGCTGCCATCTATTGCTCCTACATTGTTTTTGAAAGCAGCTAACTGCATGAAGCTCTCCAGCCTGCGGGAAAGAAATGACTCTTGTACGTGAGAACAACTAGGGTCCAGGGTTGTAAAGCACCAGTCGTAGTTATCACCGCTCTCCACCTGAAGTGTCGGCCAGAACACTACTTAAGGCCAGGAGGTACTTCTGTAGTATCAGGACAGACATTGACTTAGAGGAAATGAGAGTCGAGATGGAAGGATGGTTCAACAACGTAATGAGAACAATGCGGTCCTTCCGCAATGGTGACGTCACATTTACCCGACCTGATTGCTCTCTCAAGGGCCTCTGCAGACCACACATGGCTCCTCTGCTGAGGCGAAAGATCAGCTTCAGCTCAGTCTCTATGTTAAACCACAAACACAGGATGGGCATGTTGTTAGGTAGGAAGACCAGTTCACATCCTTGTTCTCTAAAGAAGGACTTGTTTCGACTAGTTAAAACTGCAGGAAATTTGCATCTACTCGTTCATCAAATCAAATCCATATGGCACAAACATGCTAACAGGAGCCAACTATACAGTACATATTCACAGTATTCTGTCCTATCAGACCTGCTCACAAACAAGGTACAAGGCTGTTTATTAGCCATTATACAGCACAAGGCTGCATAATGAAACATGCGACACACACAACATGGAATTAAGTAATTAAGTGTAGGCCTAGATTAAAATATGGTAACATATAAGATAAAATAAAACAATATGTACAGTTATTTATATACATATACAGACAGCTATACACCCCGAACATTCCACAGTGCATTTTTTAAATTTGCATCTGGGGTGAATGTAAACAGCAGCAACCAGATGATAATATAAAAGTTTCATATTCACAATAAACAGTCTGACATTTGGGAAACAGAGTCCATCCTGACTGCGTTTGAGCACCAAGCATCATCAAAGTAAAAGAGAGTCTGCTTCCTCTCATCTTGCACTGACAGCTCGGAACATGGACCACCTGCAGAGTGCTTGATCCGGGATGTTGATGGGGCAGGTCTCTGTAACGATGTGGGCACAACAGTCTCTGAATTCCGTTGTTTGGTCAACATGAGTCCCATTTTGTCCAGAACGGCTCTTTAGGAGCAGAATTAGATCCAAGCTGGGCCAGCAGGTCTCCTCTCCTGGCTCTCTTTCCTCTCCTCTGAACGATCACCGCACCCGCCATGGCGCCTGTTCCGGTAGTTTGGGCCGGGTGGATCGTGATCTGCTGCTCTTTAATCCAAAAGCCCGTCTTCATCTTCATCTTCCAGTGACAGTATTTATGGCAGAAGTGACACATGTTTTGACAATAAAGCCGGAAAAAACAGATAAAAAAAACAAAAGAAAAACACATATCACACAATCAACACACAACTCAGAAAAGAATACCTATTGCCCAAACAAGAGAGCTAACCACAGCGGAGGGCAGATACTAAAACTTGTGTCATGTCTGTTAACATCTGAATGATGGCTCGCTTGGACGTTAACAGACATGACGTCTGTTAACATCTGAGCGAGCTATCGTCACCTTCTGATGACCTATTGGGTTCTTGGAGAATTATTCCATTTTGTAGGGGGAGATTTCTACCCCCTGGGTTAAAAAGTAGTAGGGGCAAGTGGTGAAATGGGATTCAGCCTTTATCTGCAACTTTGCAAAGAAACACAAGTAAGAAGAACTAAAGGTATGAGATAATAACTGACTAGACTATTATAATCTGTTGTGGCTGTGTGACCAGATAATGCATCACAAGATGTTGTGAGACTATGGTGGGTAGATCTCGGACCATCTCAGACCATCTCGGACTGCCCCTTCAAAATAAAATCTGTTCACTTTAAACGCATTGATCTGGTGCACTGTGAAAGCAAATTTAAAAGGTTGGATCTATGAAGAACTTTGCGTTCTAGTAAACAATTTGATCATAAACACATTGTATAGAATAAAGTTGCTAACCCTGCCTGTCAGCTCGCTTTTTTAGTTGCGGCTAGCATGACCATGTTTTCACCGAGTGTCATTGGATCCACTAAAAGCTGTTCAAACCCTTAAAGTGACCGTATTTACCTCGAACGTTGTGTCCTCCTGAAGAAAAGCCGTTGTCTCGAGTCGGATGCCAAAGTGCGTGAGAACAAATTAGACTGGCCAGGATATGATGGCCTTTGCTGTTTCTGCAGTTGCCCAGCTCACTTCATGACTGTTCTTTTGCAACCTGCTCTCAGCTGTTGTGTGATCATTGTTGTCTTGTGATGTGTAAGTGAGGTGGCAGAACTTTGTTTATGGAACTGGACAGCATACCTGCTGCCTGCTGGACTAGTCATTCAGCTTTTGACTAATAGGTGTGTTTGTGATTTGACTTGCCAGCTTCACTATAGTGTTAGAGGAGCGGGTCTGGTTGCAGTCATGGGTGTAGAGAGCGTAAAGGACTGGACCAAGCACACAACCCTGTCTAAACTGACATTTTGTGGTCTGTTTGTGAGAAAGTCCATAAGCAGAGTGTAGTGGTTGGTCCCAGGTTATTGAGCATGTGTACCAGCTTAAAAGTGATTATAGTAGTGAAAGCTGAGCTGAAGTAAACGAATAGCATCCTGACAAGTGTGTTTGGATGCTCCAGGTAGGACAGGGTTGTATGAAGTGCAATGGAGGATAGGTTGGTAGTCATATATGCTTTGGGCACATGGACGATCCTTGTAGATCTAAGACAGGCGGGGACTGCAGCATGTTGTAGGGAGAGATTAAAGATGACAGTTGGTCGTGGAGGTGGGCATGGTTTGGATTCAGCTGCAGTGGGGAGAGGTGGCTCAGGTGAGCAGAGCCAGGAAGAGCAAACTGTCACAGCTGCTGTTCATTCACTGATTAAGCTCTCCCTCTAAATGCAGTAGTGTGCTGGACCTCAGACGCCTGCTGCCTGCTGTGATGTGAACAGCCGGTGTGGTTGTATGTGAAGATTTGTGTAGGAGCTGGTGTGACCGGTGGAGGACTGACTGGGGTGAACGAGCCGGGGGACGCACAGCCGGCCCGGCAAAGCACTTTATGTTGAGTTTATGTGTGCAGTGGGTGAAAGAAATCTTTGGTTGGTCTGTACCGGGTACTAACCAATGTGACAAGAGGCTTTTGCCACATCGGTTAGCACAAGATTTCAGTGCGCAGCCTGTCTGGTCCTGCTGCTATGGTGAAGTCTTTTCCCCCCACAGTGGATCTCACCTGGTGCTGCTGAGGGATGAGAGCTGCTCCTCCTCTGTGCGGTGTGATCTGAGCTCCTGCATTGCTGTCTTGGTTGTTGAAGCGTGCACAGAACTGGACCTGCTCTTGTATTGTTATTATTATTGTTGATAATATGTTGTATTGTAGATTATTATTTTAATGCAGTTATTGA